CACAAGAGAGAGTGAAATTGTTGATATCCACAGTTTTCAGTCACTTTCTTCTTACCATAGATTTCTGGTCTTATTTCTTAGGTTATCTCCTAACTCCCCCAGACTTAGATTTTTGTTTATCTTTCAAAACCATAGCTCCATACATCATGGTTGCCTTTGCTCCAAATAATTTTAACAATCTAAGACTTATTAGGCTTTTTGTTTCCTTTCCTTTTATTTTATTTTATTTTATTTTATTTTATTTTATCTATTTTTTTGAAAGGAGAAACACCTTTAGATATAGAGTCAATAGAGAGCACGAAATCACCAATAAGAATGAGTTCTCTGAGGCAATATAAAGTTTGATAAGGTTTCTGATACTCTTCCTTCCCAATTTCATTCAGTCTTTCTCTTGAGTGACTGAAAACTGCGTCGTTTTTGCACATATCTGCTGATATAAACTAAAAAGAGAATGCATGAGGTTTGAAAACAAGGGGTTTGGGTTTAGGGTATGGTACCAGATAAAGATGAACTGGCCATCTAGGAAAACCAAGAGTGGTAAAAATGAGGAAAAAGACGTCCTAGATGTGTATCTCGATTCCAGCTTATAATCAATGATGAGAAAATTAGATATCAATATTAAGGTCAAATAAAATGAGCTAGTATATCCTGTCGGAAAGAATCTCCATGAATAGAAGTCTTCTGGTGGGAGTTCGTAGTGCAAGTACTTTAGCTACCGCCTAGTATAGTGCTAACCAAAAATAAGCTATCATGCGCAGTGTAGAAGCGTGCAGGTCTAAGTCATCATAGTTTTGTGTCAAACATTCCTGAAAAATACTAAAGATCGCATAGGTTACATATTTATTTTAAAAAGTACTTGAAATTTAAAAACAAAGCAAGAAAATGATTAGTACGGATGGACATCCTTCCCCACACTTAAATCACAATGTCCTCAGTGTGAAAAAGTTGGTGAGAAGATGGTGAATAAAAGCGAGATAGTCTAAAAAATAAAATAAAAGAAAAGAAAATGATGATAGAACCGTGATGGTGGTGAAATAACGATGAAATGCTGATCAATCACTCTTCCTCTGATGTGTCTGCCTCGAATTGGTGCTGCTCCTGCAGGAAGGTGACGACGCACTCAAAACGTCGTCCCTGCCTCTCAACTCTGCGCTCTAACTCAGACTGTGTGTGTGATGATGTAGATGATGAAGTATATATTCGGTGGAAAATGATGGCTGATAGTGAGCACGTGCTGCAGCTGCGTCGCGCTTCGCCTTAGCCACTATGTATTGCCCGATAGTGAGAGGCAGACAAGGTACAAAAGGTAGAAACTCATCAGGTCCTAGAGTCCATCGCGGGCGTGCTCCGTTACACAGTCTCGGGACTGATGCTGAAGGTAAGTACTTGAAATGAGAGTACTTACCCTTTTTGAGAGATGAGTGAGAAGAGAGTTGTGAGGTTCATTTTGAGAGTTGTGAGGTTCATTTTGAGAGTGAGCTAGAGTGTCTTTGGGTAAGGGAAGTGAGCCGAGTCTTGCTCTTGTATGCGCCCATTGCTCTTTACCTTTAGCATTCTGCCGAAGCTTTGATCATTCATAGAAAGATCCTTGATTGCTTTGAACCCTGCTTGTGCATCTGCATTTGAATGAGATCATTGTCATCTCATAGCCTCATCCTTAGCCAAATATTGCTCATCTGAACTTGCATCACTAGATTCACTTGGTAAACACTTAATGAATGTAAAAAAGCTGAGTGATAAGAAGAACTTGTGGAGATCGTTTGTTGAATTTTGAGAATCAGAGTAGAGTCTTGTATTGCACTTGGAATTGGCAATTTGGAATCTGAGTCTCTTTGTGACTGTGTCTCTCTCCCATAAGGAATATGAACTCCCATTGCATCCAACCTCTTTCTCTCATTTGATCTTTTTGCTTGAGGACAAGCAAATGACAAGTGTGGGGGAGTTGATATGTCTATAATTTGTATCATTTAGGCCGCATTTTAGAGTCCAAATCATGTGTGTTTCTCATTCATTTTAGGTCCTTAGGCATTGATTTAGACCTTAGGGTGTGCATTAGGTCCCAACGCGTCTTTGCATGGTTTGGAGTCTTTATCAGGTGTTTTGGAGGTCGTTTGGAGTTCAAGAGGTGTGATCAGGAGTTGAAAAGGTGAAGAAAAGGGTTTAAAATCGTGAAAACGGCTTTAAGGAATTTTTCGGCAAAAGCATGTACCGACTGGATTAGTTTATCGGCTAAAAATGCTAACGGGTGATCTCTCTTGGCCAAAAATCAGTATCGGGTGAAAATATTGTCGGGTGAACTTTTATACCGAGACAGAAATTTTTTATCGGCTAAAAAACTTACCGCAGTATACGTTTCTCGGAAATATTTTCCTTACCACAGAAAGCAACTCGGCTAAAACCTGTTTTCACTTGCGCACCTCAAAGATTGCAAATCCAAGGAAGCTTCTGGTCCGAATCAGTTATCGGGGTCTTCATCAAAGTTGGAGAATATCGTCTCCAGATTCCAGAACAGTTGGAGTTGCTGAATTCGGAGGAGTGAGAAGAGAGATACCACCACCGGGATTCACACCTGTCTCGCATGCATTCAAAAGCCGATCCAATGAGTTTCAAAGATTACGCGGGAAGATGCCTTTCCGGTTCGATTCAGTTTACAAGGCCTTCATTAGTATTTGAGATCTTTGAGTGCTCTTACCAGAACACATGAGATCATTCAATTTGAAGCTGTAGCCTGAAAGATATCGTCTCCGGAGTGAACGCGGGTCCGAGAGCTGTTTTTCTTACCATTCAATTCCGAGGCAAAGATGAGCAATCAGGGGAACCTTACACTTCCCAAGCTCCGATGGTTTCTTCACCAGTGTTGGAGCTAAACCTCGGCCTCAAGACCTCGGCATTGCATGTCAGACCCTATCTACTTTGATCCCTCGGACCAAGCACCTTGGCATGTCTATGCCGAGGTCCCTTGTCACGAACCCATAATCAAGAACAAGCTGATCTAACGAGTGCACGTGAAGATGGATCAAAGACTAGGTTTCATGCATGTTCTTGACGTGTTCGTCATGAGATCTTCATTTCAATCTTTGCTCATGTGCACCCCTCGACATCAAGACCTCGGCTTCACTCTCTCATACACCGAGGTGCTCACCCAACGACCCAAGAAGATGGATTCAGTACCCGGTTTGTTCCGGGCTGACCCGCATCACTTAGCTCCCCTATATATAGTTTTTAGGACTAAAACCCTACTTATCTTATCTCTTATCCTGTTTTATCTTGGAGAACTTGCCTCTTTTGTGAAAACTTACCACTTTAATCAGATATCTCGTTTTTACGTAAAGATCTTGTTCTCTTTCATTTCTTTTTATCATCATCAAAGCTTTTAATCATGTCTAGCTTCACATGTTGCAAAGGATTAAGTGAGCTCTTCATGATTAGTGAGTAGTTTCATTATGAGGTTTTAGATAGGTAGATTAGGGTGCTTTCATGGAAGATTAGCGAGTTTAGATTCTAGATCTGCGTCATTCATTCTCTACTAAACCTATCTCTAAGCTGGATCCATGAACATCACATGTGGTCTAGATCTGAGGTATTTCACGCCTGAGAAGTGTTCGCTTAAATACCTGACCCAGGTTTAGTAGAGGTTTAAGAGTCTTTCATCATGATAATGATAGTTTGTTCTTCTTAAATGACATATTGAGCTGATTCTTAAAGCTGACTGATTCATGCTTCTCAAACGGATTTTGGTATGAAAGAGGATCAGTTTAGAAGCTTAATTCCTTCATGAGATGATTAACTTGTCTTTGAGTTCATGTTAAATGAAGTTGCTTGATCATTTTGGTTCATCAACTCACTAGTATGACATGGAAACACCCGAGTCTTTTATCCTGTCTAAAACCTCTATTTCATCATTCATATCATCATCCGATCATCTGTCTTGTTTATTTGCATGTTATTTGCATCTTTACTAGTTTAAATTTCTTATCCTTGTTCATTTCTGTTTTTGCTTGTATTTTAAGTAGCCTAGAAACCAAAACTCTTTCTTGATTGCGGTTGACTTAAGTTATAAGCATCATAAACTAGTGTCTACCACAAGCTTGGATTCGATACCCCTTGTACTACAACTACAGGGGATTGATACCTCTTCAAAGACTGAAAAGTCTTAGCTATCAATTGGCGCCGTTAACAACTTGTGGGAGCATTAGTTTTTGCTTGTTCTTGAGATCAAGCCTTTACCTTTCTTGTTTTTACTAATCGTTTTCAAGTTCTGTCTTTGATTGATCAGGTACATGCGCACTCGGTCCCACAGCTCAGAGCCACCTCAGCCTTATAACAACAACATTAACTTGCTTGAGAGAAGAGCTAGAGAAAGGGCTTTGCATCAGGAACAATTGGGTATGGCTGATCAGGAGAGAATATAGCAACAGGCTCAGAACGCCGAGCACCAGGCACAGAACGCCGAGCACCAGGCTCATCTTAACCAAGCGCAGGCCGAGAGGAACGAACAGCAGGCCTATGTTAATCAAAACATGGCTCAGCGTAATGAGAGGCAAGCTCAACAAAACCAGCAACAGGCTAACCGAAATGAGCAACAAGAACAGCAAGTTCCTTAGCCTCTGCCACCAGCTCAAAGGCAACCTCCACCGGTTTTTGTTGGAGAAAACGACCGAGCAAATGCACATCAGTATAGAACCGGGATCCAAGCACCACCTGTGCAAAACAACAACTTTGAAGTTAAAGCTTCCCTGCTCAATATGGTGCAAAACTCCAAGTTTCACGGTTTGCCCATGGAGGATCCTTTAGAGCACCTAGATTAGTTTGACGGTGTTTGTGACCTCACAAAGATGAACGGGGTATCAGAAGACAGCTTCAAGCTCCATTTGTTCCCATTTAGTCTTGGTGATAAAGCACATCAATGGGAGAAGAATCTTCCAAGGAGAACTATACAGACATGGGAGCAGTGCAAGCTTGCCTTCATGTCAAAGTTTTTCTCCACTTCAAGGACGGCTAAGCTGAGAAATCAGATCTCAAGCTTCACACAACACACCAATGAAAGCTTCGGTGAGGCTTGGGAAGGTTTCGAAGCTATACTAACCAATGTCCACACCACGGTTTCTCAGAGGCTTCCCTTCTAAGCACTTTATACCGAGGGGCACTTCCAAAGATAAGGAACCAACTTGATACAGCATCAAATGGGAACTTTCTTGGGAAGGAAATAAACGCAGCAATGGAGCTTGTGGAGAATCTTGCGATGTCAAACAAATACCTACGGTGAGGATTTCGACAGAGCTAATAGATCAGATGGGACTAGTAAAGAGTTGTGTATGGAAAAAGACATCAGGGAGCTACAAAACAAGCTAGACAAAGTGCTTGTGGCTACACAAAAGCCAATTCACTTTGTAGGCGAGTTTGATGAGCAAGGGCCAAGCTTTGACAATGTAAATGAGGATGGTCTCGCACAAGAAGAGATCAACTATATTGGGAATCAACAAAGGTATCAGCGGTTCAACAAATGTGGAACCAATCAGAACCTCTCTTACCGCAACCCCAATGTAGCTAATCCTCAAGATCAGGTGTACCCTGCTCAACAAAACCAACAAAGCTATGCTCCAAAGCCTCAGTTCCAAATTTCTTTTCAGCCCAAGCACTAATTCAGTGGGTAACAACAGAGTTGTGGACAGCAACAGCAACCGGCTCAAGGCAGTACATATAACAGCCAACCACAGCAACATAAATATCCACCAGGGTTCAGTCCACAGCCGATGGGTTAGAACAGCAGCAAGCACCGGTTCAGAGTCAGATGAGACCAGATATGTGTGGGCTTCTACAGCAGCTACTACAGAGTCAACAAAGGGTTGAGAGTCAGTATGCGTCCATGCAACAAGATATCAGGGAGCTTAAGCAGAATCAAGCTTCCACATCATCAAGAGGACAAGCTTTACCTGGAAAGCCGGAACCAAATCCCAAAGAGTATGTCAATGCCATCACCCTGAGAAGTGGCAAAGAGTTACAAGCTCCTGAACCTAAGCAAAAGCTCATTGAGGACAATGAGCAGATCGGTGGGGAGGAAGCTTCAAGTGACGAGTAAGAGAATGAAGTTTTAGAGAGGGAACCAGTCAAAGACAAGGCTAAAGAGGTAGAGAAGGCCCCTGAGCTTGAAAAACTTTATGTTCCACCACCTCTTTATCAGCCTAAGATACCATTTCCAGGGCGGTTCAAGAAAAAAATCTTAGACAAAGCAAAGGCAGTAATTGAGAAATACTTAAAAAATACTCAGATGACATTTCCGATCATAGAAGCTTTCATAATGATTCTTCAGCTTGGGAAGTTTTTAAAGGAGCTTCAAGGGATGGTCATCTTGAGTCATGAGTGCAGTGCCATCATTCAAAGGAGATCAGTGCCAAGAAAATTATCAGATCCTGGTAGTTTTACTTTGCCATGTGCGATCGGTCCACTGAAGTTTTCAAGCTGCCTATGTGACTTGGGAGCTCCTGTGAGCTTAATGCCCTATTCTATTGCCAAAAGAATTGGGGTTTAACAGCTACAAACCAGCAAGAATCTCTCTTATTCTTGCGGATCGATCAGTGAGGCTACCAATCGGTATACCTGAAGATTTGCCTTTGAAGATTGGAGAAATAGAGATCCCCACAGATTTCATAGTTCTAGAGATGGATGAGGAGCCTGTGGATCCCATCATCTTGGGAAGACCCTTTTTAGCAACAGAAGGAGCGATCATTGACGTGAGAGGAGGCATGATCGAGCTGCACATTGGGTCTGAAACCATGAAGTTAGATGTGAAGGAAATGATGAAGAAACCGACCATTGGAGGTCAAGTTTTCTACATAGAAACCATGGAGGAGCTGGCTGATGAGCTCCTTGAGGATTTAAACGCGGAAGACCCTTTACAAGTGGTCTTGACAAAGGAACAAAGCGAGCACGGGTTCTTGAATGAAGAAAGTGAGGTCTACAAGAAGTTCTTGGATCAGCCGAGGGAACTTGAAGCTGAGACAAGATTTTTGGAGCTTGAACCGAATGGTCTCGAGGTTTTGGACATCAGAGGGTCCAATACAAGAGGGGAGACGCCTCGGGGTCTCATGGCCGCGACATGAGATGCCGAGGGTAGTGGTAAACCGCGAGAGAAGACCAATGCCGAGGAAGCTGTTAAAGTGCAATGCAGCTTTGATGCGGATTGGGATGAGGCAAAGGCTCCCCTTGTTGAGCTCAAGCCTCTACCAACAGGGCTCAGGTATGCCTTCTTAGGCTCAAACTCTTCATATCCCGTGATCATTAATGATAACCTGTTAGCTCATGAAGAACATGCATTGCTTAGGGAGCTTAGAAAGTTCAGGAGAGCGATAGGTTATTCTTTGGCTGATATTAGAGACATCTCTCCTGAAATATGCACCCACATGATCCACCTAGAAGACCATTCTATGTCTTCTATTGAGCATCAAAGACGTCTTAACCCGAACCTTAAGGAGGTGGTTAAGAAGGAGATAATCAAGCTTCTTGAGGCAGGGATAATATACCCAATCTCTGACTCAAGATGGGTATCTCCTGTCCATGTGGTGCCCAAGAAAGATGGTGTCACAGTGGTAAAGAATGAGAGGGATGAGTTAATAGCTACAAGAACCATAACCAGTCATCGTATGTGTATTAAATACAGAAAGCTTAACTCTGCATCTAGAAAAGACCATTTCCCATTGCCATTCATAGATCAGATGCTTGAGAGACTAGCTAACCATCCATACTTCTGTTTTCTTGATGGGTACTCGGGTTTCTTTCAAATACCCATAGATCCCCGAGACCAAGAGAAAACTACATTCACATGCCCCTACGACACATATGCATATAGACGCATGCCCTTTGGCCTTTGTAATGCACATGCAACCTTCCAAAGGTGCATGATGCATATCTTTTCTGACCTCATTGAAGAGAAGGTGGAGGTCTTTATGGACGATTTCCCTGTCTATGGTTCATCCTTCTCCGATTTTCTTTCTAATTTGTCACAGGTCTTAAAGAGGTGTGAGGAGCACAGGCTGGTCTTGAACTGGGAGAAGTGCCATTTCATGGTACAAGAGGGCATCGTGTTAGGTCATAAAGTGTCTGAGAAGGGCATAGAAGTCGACAGAGCAAAAGTGGAGGTCATGGTGAATTTGCAGCCTCCGAGTTCAGTCAAGGGTATAAGAAGCTTCTTGGGGCACGCCGGCTTCTATAGAAGGTTCATTAAGGACTTTTCTAAGATAGCTCGGCCATTAACAAGGCTTCTTTGCAAGGAAGTTGAGTTCTTGTTCGATGAGGAATGCATGGAGGCGTTTCTAAAGATCAAGGAGGCCCTTGTTAGTGCACCAATTTTTCAAGCTCCCGATTGGTCTTTGCCATTTGAAGTGATGACAGATGCATCAAACTATGCCGTGGGAGCAGTTTTGGGGCAGAAAAATGATAAGAAGCTGCACGTGATCTACTACGCAAGCCGCACATTGGACTCAACTCAATAGAAATACGCAACAACTGAGAAAGAGATGCTGGCCATTGTATTTGCATTTGAAAAGTTCAGAAGTTACCTTGTGGGATCAAAGGTTATTGGGTATACGGATCACGCGGCTTTGAGGTATCTCATGACCAAAAAAGATGCTAAGCCGAGGCTTCTTAGGTGGGTTCTCCTGTTACAAGAATTTGACATGGAGGTGCAAGACAAGAAAGGCATTGAGAATGGAGCTGCCGACCATCTCTCACGGTTAAGAGTTGACTCAAAAGTGCCTTTAGATGATGCTTTACCCGAAGAGCACCTGATGTTGATCAAGTCTTACATGGAGGTTGAAGAGGCCAATACAATCAGAGAGAGGAGCCTTTCATGGTTTGCTGATCTTGTTAACTACCTCTCATGCAGATTAGAGCCACCTGAATTGGATTCCTATCAGAGGAAAAATTTCTTTAAAGATGTGATGAGGTATCATTGGGATGAGCCGTATTTATATGTGCTCAACAAAGACCATCTTTATAGAAGGTGCTTAGCTGAAGAGGAGGTACAGCCTGTGTTACAAGAGTGCCACGGTTCTGCTTATGGTGGACACTTGGGGGCTTTCAAGACGGTTGCCAAGGTTTTACAGAGTGGTTTTTGGTGGCCAACGATGTTCAAATATGCTCAAGCTGTTTTTTCTAACTGTGAATCGAGTCAAAGGCATGGTAATATCTCCAAAAGAAGTGAGATGCCTCAGAATCCGATCTTTGAGGTGGAGGTATGATATATCATGGTTTTTATGGTTTTTAACCATGGTATAAGTCTTATTTATAGAGTCTTTCTAGTGTCTTTCGAGTCTTTTGGAGTCTTTTCACGTCATAGGTACGTTTGGAGCTTAACTGGAGACTTTGGAGCACTTTGGAGCTTAATCAGGATCAAATTCGTCAAGAATGGATTTTGTGCTTTAGTGTCGCTCGACACCATGGAGAGTGACGCTTGACACTTGTCAGAGAAATAAGGAAAAAGCGATTTTGTTTCCTATTTGAAGAAGGAGTTGGGCCCAAACGTTTTCAAGGAAGCCCAAGACGTGTCTCAGAGATATATATAGGATTTTTATTCCCTTTTTACGATGACCTTAGATTTTTGAGAGAGAGATACTCTGAGTTTTTGGCTTTTGCGATTTATGAGCTTGGGGAGACAAGTATGTACTCTGTTCGTTTAGAAAGAAGATTTCGAACCCCTTTATCTATTTCGATTTAATATATTGCTCTCTATTCATCATGTTTGTTGTTTCAATAATCATGTCTGAGTAGATCACCTGTTAGGTTTAGGGTTTAATTAGGGTTTTTTTTGAATGTGTGATTAACTTGCTAGTTAGGGTTCATATCTATTTGTTCTTCACCTTAGGTTGTTCTTAAAGCTAATTCTTGATTGATCACCTAGAACTTAGATCTGAGGTTGCTTAATTGACACGGAAGTGTAATTGATTAACTGGAAAGAACCTAGGTTGAGCAAAGTAGCTATTCGCAAAGGAATTTGGTTTAGATGCTTTGTGAACATATCGAACTTGTGCATTAAGGCTGGTTTAAATCTGTAGGATTTGCAAAGGAATTTGGGATTCTAGGATTTTAACTTAGATAATTCTCACAACGGA